AAATAAAATGTCTGCTGTGTTTTTTGGACTTTCATGGCAGCTTAGAATAATTAAAAGCCAATTAAACCAGGACAAGACATTTTAAAAGCCAGCAAAGATTTATATTTAAGCAAAACAAAATATTTCAAGATCCAGTGTAAAATTAATAAAGGCAGGCCTCTTGGAGATCCCCAGTATTGCAAGTGATACTTGAAAATATTTCCTGACAAGCACCTTTCTAAAGTGATTGGGCCTAGAACAACAACAACAACAACAGAATGGGCAAGGACAGGCAGTTCACATGTGAGATAAGGCAATCTTTCACATAACTTGGGCCCAAATTGATTAGAGATTTATTAAAAATAAACATCACTTTGAATCTTTTGTAGAAATGAATTGGAGGCATTGCAGATTTCCTAACACTGGGTGAAGAGTCTCCAATCCCACCTACCCCAACAGATAATGTTCTGGCTGCTGTGTTTTGTACCTAATTGAAATTTTGAAATATTCTGTACCCTTATGTATAGCATATTGCAAACATCTACTTTGATCATTAATAAAATATTTGTAACAGATATACTCCTCCAAGAAATAGGAGAGGTAGTACGTCTGCCAAAATTTTACAGAAGCACTCCTAGCTACCATTTGACAATGTAAGATCAGAAAGACTCCTAGATACACTGGAACAGAGAATATCCTCCTTCAAAAACAGCATATCCCCATCCAGAACAGATTATGCGCCTAATTCTTAACTAGATTTCTTAAAGGTACGGTCTCTTTAAAGTAAAACTTAACTTCTGCTGATTTTATATCTGTCCATGAAGCTTTCTTGGCAACAGGATGGAAGTGCTTTGCCATTGTCTTTTTCTGGGATTTTTTCTTTGGGGATGGATTGGGAGGGTGTGTGCTTCCCAGCCTGACCTCCAACCCTGGATAGTAGACATTTCTGGATAGTCTGCTATTCCAGGGCTAACCAGGTCTGACTATACCACATCTCATTTGTATGGATTAAATTTCAACTTGGTGCTGGGACCAATTTCTGCCAGAGCTTCCTCAGTTGCCCCAACTTCATTCAAAAGGTAAAAACAGAATATTGATGATGTTCAATCAAATCCCTAGATAATTGTCTCACAGTTCTCATTTTCCAAGAAAATCTTGACTTAAGTAGGAAAGAAATAACAGCTAATGCACTTTTCTTGATTACCTTCTAAAATACTTGTTTTCATCATACAAAATTTTCAGGTTCCACATTTGCCAAAGCTAAACCTGAAATTCCTTGGACATCACTTACAAGGAAGGGAATTGTGCGAGTAGTGTTGTTTCCATTTTTTAGTCATTGGTGGATACAAGTGACCTCTTGGCGTATATTTATATGGCTGTTAGTACTCTACCTCCTACAAGGTAAGTAGAGATTAAAATTATGCTGGGATCATTGAACAACCTAAGAAATTAACTCTGGGTTTGCCTACTTAAATGGATCTAATGGTGAAGCTCCATATTAAACCATGACTTATGCCATGACTAAGAAGCTAGTAATATTGATTTTAAAAAGCAGAAATACATCTTCTATTAGCTTGTATACAGAGACTTCATTTGGGGTGCCTCCTTCATGTGTATTACTTGTTCATTACATGAACAGGCTGTCTGAAGATGAGAATGGAGTTTGATCTTCTACTTGTGGCTCGGGGAGGATATGGGAGGGATATTTGGGATGACCAATGAGCTATCTGAAGCATATTTTTCAACTTCCAAAGGTTTAACTGCATTTCAGCTGGCAGCAGTAAATCTCAAATCTATCCAGGGGTGGTTGAGGGTCACAGAGCAGTGAAAGTAGGAAAATTGTCTTGGGTTAATAACTCGGATGATACCAAATCTGAACCACAAAGAAATAATGGAGACCTGGCATGAGGCTTAGAAAATCCTTACTAATATAATTATTAATAATTAATAATAGAATTATTAAGGGGGGTTCTGGTCCCAATGATATTCTGGGTAGAAACATGAATAATTCTGCAGCTGAGACCAATAATGATGCAGCAATGGGAAGAGTAACAAATATATCACCAGGAGAGCCAACCAAGGGCTTGAGAAAAGGAGAAGTGAAATAGGAAAACTCCCATTTAAGAGGATTGTCTCACTATCAGCAGTTTCATTTAATCGAGAGATGTGGTGCTGGAGTGTCACTATTGCATGGAAAGCAATTTCGGATTTGATATTCCTGAGTTGAAGAACTACAGTCTTGAGGCAGGAGGGCCACTGCTGAGGTAGAATACCCGGTTCTTAGATGGACACTTGTTGCTATGCCTCTGTGGCTGACTGGATGATGCAGATTGAAAATCTGGGAGGAACTGGACTTCCAGGCAGGGAAAATGGCGGATTGATGCATCTCTGAAAGTGTGGAGATGATGCTGAATCTGGAACTGCAACTGGGCAAAGAGAAGCTGAAGAAATCACCCATATGTGTTCTGGACAGCAGCTCCTTATGAGAGGAAGCCTACAGGATCTGAAAGGACTCTGTAGACACCTTGTGGGTAAGAGCGTCAGGAGCTGAGGAAGGGAGATGAGGCTTGCAGCCTCAGCAGAACCTTTAATGTGCACTGGGTTGGACCAAACCCTACTTTCTTAGCCATTTTGGATTATAACTATTTAAAAGCTAAAGAGATGTTTGGAGCAGCAGTTTAACTGGACCATCCATAAGTGTTCCTATGGCCTGTGTCGTATTTAACAGAAAAAGAACAAGAAAACTCTAAAACTTAACTTGCAGCAAAAAGCACACTAAGAGCTTGGACAATAAAAGTTTTAAATGGATAAAGGGACCAGTGATATTTTTTGGAACTTAATTTACTCTAAGTTCCTGTGAATTAATTAAATAAATAGCACGTACCTCCATAAGATAGTGTTTTGTTTAGGTTCTTCAAGGAAAATAGCAGGTAGACTTTTTTAAACAAAAAAGACAAGGGATCATCATAAAAGGGCAGGAACTGTATAGAGAGTAGAAATAGAGAGACTTTAAGGAATCGTCATGGAAGTACACAGCTTAAAGTATTACAAAAAAAGAAAAAAACATAGGTAAAGTCTTGTTCTTTTTGATGTTTCTACTATTTGGATTACAAATTAAGACAGAAAGATGGCCACAACTAGAAAAGCAGTGAAAGAAGGGAGGAGAGGATCACTGACTGACCAATCTACTGGAATTACACCTGAGATATTACAGAGGATGTTTGAAGAGATGGGAAAGAATGTCACAGCTTCAACAGCGGCTGTGACAGCATCTGAAGGGGAAAAGTTGGTGAATCTGGAGGAAAGAATGAATTAAAAAATCGAAGAATCTGTAATGCAGATCAAAGGTAAAGTTCAACAAATTAAGGAAAAAGTAGAAATTCTGGAAACCAAGACTGAAGTGTTAAGTCAAGAGATGGAAAAAGATTTAGATAATTTGGCAGTATTAGAATTAAGAGAGAGGGAATTTCATCTGAGGTCAAGGTCAGTTCTAGAAGAACCTGGTGAGGATGTAAGAAATAGTGTAGTTCAGGTTTTAACAAAATGTTTGGAATGGGAAGAAGAAGATATGGAAGCAGAAGTGGATAAGGGGTATAAAATTAACACAAGATATGCTAAATTAAGAAATATACCAAGAGACATATTAGTGCATTTTGTCAGGAGAATAAGAGATCAGATTCTACAACAACACTTCAGTACTAAGTTAAAGATGGGCAACTCGTATGTAATCCTGCTTAAAGAAATACCCATCAGCAGTATTATAAAAGACTTATGAATGATTGGTTTTATATATAACTGCAGCAAGACTATTATATACACAAAGATGGAAAAATGTAGAAATACCCACAATGGAGGAGTGTACTGTGAAGATAGTAGAACTTGCTGAAATGGCTAAATTGCCTTATCTGATTAAGGAAGGAACAGCAATTATTTTTATAAAAGACTGGAAACCCTTTATGGATTTTTTGCTGAAAATGGATGAAAATGAATTGGTGATTTCAGGATTTACTGATTAAAAAGGATTGTTTATGGGAAGAAGGGAACCAGGATATCTAATTTGGGAGGGTGGAAATGGTAATAATCATGCTAGTAACTGCTGCAAAGAAGATTGGAAGTTGCTTTTCTAGATATCTTTCTTTTTCTTTTTTCTTATCTCTGTTCTTTTTCTTTTATCTTTTTATATCTTTTTCTTTTTTCTACTCCCCCCCCCCTAATTTTCTGTAGTTTTTTAATTCAGTGTAAAATTCTTTTCCAATAAAAATTATCTATATATAAAACAGAAGAATCTGGGAAGAACTTATTAAAGTAGTCATATCATTTTCAAGGCCCACAAAAATATATCAGAAACTACTTCTGGCTGTCTCTTCATATGTGTGCATGCACAACCATTCCTGCATGTGCATAAACCAACTCTTTTGAAGGCTTTGCACAGGCTATATCTATTTCCATTTACATCGTTGTAATCTGTATCATGCCAATTTTTGAGGATGGGTCTCAGCAAATGCAGATTAAGGTGTCACCCAATATGGGATTTGATGAAGAATCATGGGACAAAGGAGTCATAGTCAATAGTTGGTCTAGTGTTAAACTTCTACCTATGATAAATCAATCCTAAATTCATCTTTTTAAACACATAATTAGCAAAGGAGAAACTCAGTGCTAAGGTTGCATATGCTGTAGTTTCTTGATGTAACTATGTTAAACCTGTTTTATTTTTATAGGTATTGCGACATTTTTGTCAGTACAAGAAAGAATAATGACTGATTTTATTTATTGACAGAGCTTATAGACCATGCCAATCAGCTGGGTTATGTATTACCCCCCCCCCCAATTCATAATTGGGTTTAAAACAGTGCAAATCAAATTTAAAAACAAAACTGAACATTAAAATAACATAAAACCAGAAGACATACTCAAAAGAATAAAAGCAGTTATTCCTCAGGAAAAATAGTTATATTTTGTATTACTGAATATGTCACATTACTGAAATGTCATATTATTAAACCAGAAGGTTAGTATCTTTATATGTAGTATCTTTATTTGGTATGCACTTATTTATAAGTGTAGTACAAATCCTATTTTTACCTGTTAGACAATTTATATACTTTTTTTTTCAGTTGTAGCAATTGCATTATACTCCATAATGCCAATAGTGAGTGCAAGTGAAATCATCGGACCATTGTGCCTTATGCTTCTAATGGGAACTGTACACTGTCAGATAGTATCTACTCAGTTAACTAAATCCTCAGGAAGTGATGGGAGCAGTATTGGCCGAAGAAGGAGGTGAGAGAAGAACATCAGCAGCTTGTGGGGGGAATGAACTTTTTAGAATCAGAATATTTCTTTGCATGCTGCTTAAAGGCCACTTTTAATGTTCTTATAATATGTACGTTATGAATTGTGTCTGTGCTTGCACTTTCATTGATTATTCACCTGTTTTAGCTAGATTCTTATAAAAAGTTATAGCTTTCATATTTAAATTTACGAATATGTACTAGTTTGCAGTGTTTACATACCACTCTTGATTATAAATATATCAAAGCAAATTCCATAAAATGATAATATGCATAAACATGAAACACAAAAGTATGAAAATAATAAAACCAATTAATAAGCAATTGCTTGAGCATTTAAAAAAGGTAGAAGAAATCAAGGCAATATTGGGCAACTAGGTTAATTTATTGCAGAAATATTCCATGGTAGGAACTTGCTTAATCTCAGTAGGAAGTTTTTTTCATATAGTGGGCTCTGCTACAGTCTTGGCCCATCTCTCTTCCGCAGATTGATGAATATCAGTAGGTTTAGTACAGTTAGCAAGATACACTCACCAAAGTTTAAGTAGGTGTATAAAGAAGGAGGCATTTCCTTTGATCATTGAGTTCTAAGACATTTAGAGTGTTATAAATCAACAACAAACTGTTGAAAATAACTCATATTTAATTTTGCCAGAACAGTGACATGAGCTCTATGTGGGACATATCAGATATTTTATCAGCGAAGCAGGAAGTATATATTTCCCGTCCTTTTATCATTAGAGGCATTGTTAGCGGTCTGCTGTTCTCCTTCACTGTACTTCATAAGTTTTTAATTTAGTAGGACTAGTATTTTTGGACAGAAAAAAAATTAAGGGTGATATTATCGAACACTGAGTTGATGCTAATTTTTTTTAATCTAGAAAAACACGCAAATTTGCAGGAGGTGATGGAACTATCTACACTTCCACTGACAAAATCAGCAGAACAGAGGAGCCATTGGAGTCCTCATCCAGGATCAGCAGCTTTTTTGATTCAGTATTGCGCCGAAGGAGCAGGGAGGGGTATGGTTGGTAATATTAGCTTGTTCAGAAGATATGACTGACATTTTAATTGAGTTTTAACTATAAATTAAATAAAAATAAATAAATAAATAAATAAATAAAATATTGCTCCAAGATTACATCATAGCATTTTTTATGGCTGAGTTATGTGCATTTATGAAAAGGGGCTGCCAAACTGTCTTTCTAGAGCTGCTGGACTCTCTTCTTTCTTCAATCCTATCTCATTTATATTTTTATATACCACATTCCATCAGACAACTCAGGGTAGCACAAAAGTTTTCCCTCCCCACTTTTAGTAATCACAGCAATCCTGGGAAGTAGATTTTGTTATGACAGCGAATGACTCAAGACTCACCAGACAGCTTCATAGTTGAAGAGGGATTTAAACTATTATTCCTTTGTACATAGTCCAGCATTCCAACCAGTGTGTGTAACTTTGATTTGCCAGTTAAATGCATGGTATTGTCTTGCTTTATTTAAAAGTGTTACCAGGAAGAATGGGAGAAAATGTTATTCCTTCATTTTCTCTCAACACATTCTGTGTCAGATAGATGACAAACTTCAACTTTTGAGAATTCAAGTTTTGATAGATTTTAAAATAATTAAGCAGAAATGTTATCTTATGGACTGGCCATAATGAGGACTGCTCATTTACAAGGTCTGAAACTTGTACACTTCAAAGTGATGTTCATAATTCTATACATTTAATATGTAAAAGACCATGGAAAATTCTGTATCTTTTCAACCGTGTCTTGATTTTAAAAGTGTGAATAAGGAAGACATGCATTTCCTTCCATAGGGTGAAAAGGGGAAAACGGGTAGCTGATAAAGGGACTGAAACAGAGCATAGCAGTGGTATGAAACGCAGGATTTCCAGATCTGAGCATAGTTTTCAGCGGTCCAAGGATCCTGAAATGCAGTTAAATATAGATAGAAAACAGGTAAGATTTGAACTTGATGTACTAAGTTGATGCAAATGTCAAAGTCTGTATGAACAGTAATGCATACATTAAATCTTACCCACTCATCTGAATTCTGGAAAATATGGAATATACCTTTCCAAAAGAATGTTTATAATTGTAGACATAGGTAATATTAATAATCACTTATTTAATTATAGAAAATTACCACCTTGGAAAATAATTTCAACTTGTCTGTCATAAAATAGTCTTTTTTTTTTCTGTATTAAACTTAAAATTAACCTGTTCTTCCAACGATGCAATTTAGATTAAAATGACCTTTGCTATCAATCCTCAACATATAGGAAGTTAGTTTGGATTCGAGAAAGAGAAACATTTATAATTTTTATTTCAACTTTCCTTCAAGGAAATAAGCTTGGTATACATGGATCCTCCTCCTAATTTTATCTTTGTAGCAATTATATGAGTTAAGTTAGGCTGAAAAGAAGTGACCCTCCTACTGTATGAGCTCCATGGCTAAAAAGATTCAAAATGCAGTTTACCAGATCATAGTTCAACGTTGCTTCTCAGTCATAATAGTAAAAGTATCTGTGGAATTGCATGCAGGGAAATTGACAGATGGGTCCATATCCATGCAGTTGTCCTACATCAAGTAAACTGCAGCGTTGTGTGTGTGTGTGGGGGGAGTTTCAATCATGTTGTAGATTAATTATTGCTAAACTCTGAAGCCGTGTAAGGTGTAACTATATTACAGTGTGGGTTTGTCTGTGCTGATGTATTTTGTTTGTACTGCTATTAGAGTAAATTCCTAGTGGTTAATTCCTATGATACAAGATTGCATGAATGTGAACTGTCCCATTAGCTTGATGTTACTTAGCTTTAATCCTGATTGGTATTCTTTCAGACTATTTCTAGACATTCTGGAATTTCTGATGAGTTGTCAAGTGAGGAGGAAGCAGATACTGTGGGTCAGATAGTTTTGTTGCGTAGAAGTGTAGAAGGTGGCCCTACTATAATTGTTACTGAAGATCAGAGCAAAAAGTCTTCTCTTGCTTCTGCATCTCCTTCAACAAATCAGTCAGTGTCACAGGTAAGTGTATTATCAAAAACTGTTATCCAGTTACTTAGGCACCAAATGAATTTTACTTTTAATCAAGATAAGAAAGAGATTAGGCCAGCCTTCAACTCTTGTGGGCTCCACTTGTGTCGGGACAGCAACTCTCAGAATTACCAGTTAATATACCCATATCTGCAGGGCACCAGAAAAGTGTAATAATCATTAATCCTAAGCCTAACCCTGAACTCATAGATTATATTATGTCATGTTTGTAATTTATACTCCTTGGTATTTATTTATTTATTTATGCTAGCAATGAATTCCAGTTTAACTATGCACTGTGTGAAGGAGAATAATGTTTATTGGTCATGACATTTAGTTTCAGTGAATAACTCATATTCTAACATTGTAATACAGGGAGAAAATTATATTCATAGCAATAGATTATATAACATTTAGTTCTTGATCAGGATTCTGGGTACCATTTAGGATTAAGTCTATTGTTGTATGTCTCCCTTTTGGCTTCATGACTAGCAGTTCAAAACACAATCGTTTAATATATCTAGAATTTTAGTCTCTTTTATTAGGTTCAAGTTGTGCATTCTTCCCAGACACACACACACACACACACACCTAAACAGTTTAACCCATGGATTTTATGTGTATAGAATCTCTGGTTGTTGTCCTTCCACCCACTGAAAGATCCTGATGGTAAGTCACTTACAAGAAAAGATCCCTCCTATCATATTCCTCCAGTCAGCAGTATAGAAAGTTGAAAAATAAGGGAGGGTGAGTGTCTTCTAAGAGCAGATTCTTTTCATAGATATAACTGGAGAGCACAGTTATTTGGATGTACATAAATATGTACATACAGGTAGTCTTCACTTACTGATCACAATTGTCGACCACAACTGCAGTCACTAAGCGAAAAATCAAGTGGCCACACCAGACTTACAATGTCACTTCTGCTTCTGTCATTAAGCAAATCACTACAGTCGTTAAGTGGGACATCACATGACTGTCTTGTGATTTCACTTCCACGTTCTCCATTAAGTCTGCTTGTTCGAAACTGATTGTGAAACTTGCAAATGGCAATCACATGACTGTGGGACACTGCAGTGGTCATAAATGTGGACCAGTTGCAAAGCACCCAAATGGTGATTGCATGACTGTAGGATGCTTCAACAGCAGTAAATGTGAGGATTGGCCGCAAAGCTCCAATTTTTTTCAACTGTCTTTTCAACTTTGAATGGCCGCTAAACAAGGCAGTTGGTAAGCAAGGACTACCTGTACACACATACGGATTTGTCTTTTCAATAAGTGCAATACAATAGAATATTGTACTTTTAATATAAAATATACCATGTTTGTTACTTTGAAGATTTTCCACATTTTAGTTCTTCACTTATTCTTTTTGTGATCTGAGGCAGGTCAAGGAGGTGGTGAAATCAATGCAAGATTCTGACAGCATAGTGGAATCAGAACTTGAAGTAACAGTTCCTCATGAGGTATTCAGAATTAAAAATTACAATATGTTCTGGTGAAGTTCCTGGATGCAGCTGATCATTTTTTCATTATTTTGAAATTTAAGATTCTTCTCAGCATCACCTGAGAGTGGAGTTGGTATCACATAGGCAATAAGCCATGATTTGTTTTAATCATGGTTGGGGGAATAGACAATAGTGGCCTGGCTCACATGGTAATCCTAATAGATGAGCTTATGCAGTGTGTTAAATCAAAATTCATGAGCACATTATAGTTTCACATAAGGATAGGGTACATGGGTGCTTGCAATTTCCAGGCTCTCATTTGAGATCTCTGGAGTCTCTGAGAATTTTGCCATTGAAATTGAGCAACAGGCAGTCAAATTATGTTGGCCAAAAAAAGGTCACATACAGTCTGAACAAAATCTCCTTTTCTCACCTGGTTCTGGGGTGGAATTAATGCTGACATTTCTGTGTAGAATGTTGATGGTTTAATACAAGTGGCAGACCAGACATAAACTCATTTACAAAACTGCATTTTTTTATGTTGCCAAATTAATTCCTATGTAGAAATATGTTCCATTTTGCTTATAAGTTTGTTAATACGTATTTCAGTGTTTTTGGAATAGTTCAGCACATACCTATTGGATTTGACATCAATGAGTGGGTATATCTGTTGCGTCATACCACTAACAGTTTTATCAGTGCAATGTTCTCGATTAGCACCTCAGTGATTACTCTAACTTCTCTGCAGTATTGGTGAATTAGATTATTTGGCAGAAGTATTTCATAGTATTTAGAAAGCTAAAGGGGCAAATCTGTGTCAGGCAATTTTCATGATAAAGGAGGATAATTGGAATGGGCTGATACCTTTCCATGGGACTAGACTTTTAAAAATAATTTGATGATGATGATGATAATAATTCAGATTTAATATAGCCACCCATTCCAGTCGCTTGCACTATTATAACTTAAATTAATTAAAAGGTTGCAGAAGAGTGCCATGTTGTGACAGGTAATAAAGAATTCAGTGATTGGTCTTAATTAAATTAGGATTGCAATAATGATTTTCTGAATACTTCCTTACAGGAGTCCAAAGCCCAATATAGTAGTGAATCTCAAAGTGGTAGTGTTTCTCATAGAGATTCAGAGAGTACTCGCCATGACTCTGAGACAGAAGATATGTTGTGGGATGATTTGCTTCATGGACCTGAATGCCGGTCCTCTTTCACCAGTGACAGTGAGGAAGCAAAAGGAAAAGACAAGAAGGCAAGCAAACGAGATCTGAAGGACGATGTTTTCCAGCAGGTCTGTAACATGCAAAGCATTCCCCCTTGTGATGGTAGCTTAAGTAAATAAAGTCATCGGGAGACAGTACCAGAAATTCCTCTTTGTGTTCTCTGGCAACAAGATGTGAAACCCATTTTTCATGGTTTTCTGTCCAATTATATAGATTCCCTGTGCCATTTATCTGGATAAATAAAGCAGGCTGGTTTTTCAGTAGAGAAGGATTATCATCTAGCAAGAATCAGAAGAGTTTAATTTAGATATACTGTACTCTACTGTGTGACCCCAGGAATATGGAATTTAAGCAAAAGTATTCAAAGACATTGATTGCACATTGATGAAATGCAGCAGTCCACATGTGGGGGAAAAGGTGATTTGGAGCATGTGGGGGCATGCATGTAGCACCTGTTAGTGACTTCTTAAAGAAGCTATGGCTTTTCCTGGGCTTACATGGTGGAAACCAGTGAGCCCAGGAAAATATATGATTGTTATAGGGTACTGTCAGGTGCTGTGTGCCTGTCCCTACCTGCTCTAAATCAGCTTTTCCTATTTGAATCTGGAACTATGGCTATAGTCTTTCCAACTCAAGGGCACTGAAAAAAGTGTTCTTGATCTGATGATGTACCTATTAAATTTCCTACTGTCTTCACTCAAAGGGTAGATGTGATTATAGCCATTTATTACATTATAGAAAACATGTAATATGTATTTGCTGTATTATTAGCATAGTTTACATTTGGAATACATACTGAGAAAATAAGGCAAGTATGAAATATTGAGGGTATTTAGAAAATATGTGTCTACAACAAAAACTAGTACCATAGTGGTAGACATGCTGACTGTAAGCAGTTGGTGATAAAAAAAAAAAAAAACTGGGGAAAAGCCCCTGGGTACCCTGTTACCTGGAGTATACAGACATCAGAGAAAAAACATATCTGTTAACAGTTCTTATTACTGTAATAATCAAACATTTCAAGGTTCTGCTATAGACAACAGGAACATTAAAATGCACAGCAAGGATAGAAGTTAGGCTTTAATGGCATTCATGCTTACTCAGATAGGACCCATCTTTTGACCCATGTAAAGTCAATGGCAAAATGTTGGCTCAGTATCATGAAATGTGCTGTTTTAAAGCAATTTCACCCCATGTTAGAGACAGATTTTCCAGAATATAGTTTCAATATGTATTTTCTTCCTCAGAACCACTTGTTCTGGCTGCAGAACACAAGTCCTGCCTCTACCAAAGTGAGTGCGCTTATCTGGGAGGGGAATGAGTGCAAGAAAGTAGACATGTCTGTTCTGGAGATCAGTGGAATCATCATGAGCAGGGTAAGGATTATGCCCATCCAGTATACTCATACAGAAAAACTCACAGTTCTATTCTGTGCAGCTTGTTCTGTATCCACAAGCAAAATATGTTATTACAAGAACGTGAGAATTTGATAGAATGCAGTAGATATTTTTCCTTGGAGGTTCAGTGGGTTGCATTTTCCAAAGCTACAGGAAATTGTTTTTATATGGCTGCAAATTTGCATGTATGCCAACTTTGCAGTCTAATCTTCAGTGAGGTGAGTTGAATTTGATGTTGAGATTTCCACTCTTGATACTGCATTTTTTAGATGTAGCATGCTAATTCATACAGGTAGTCCTCAACTTACAACCACAATTGGGACTGGAACTTCCATCGCTAAACAATGCAGTCATTAAATGAGTCGTACCCAATTTTATGACCTTTTTTGCCATGGTTAAGTGAATCTGTAATGGAAGACATGTGCAAGGAGGATACTGGAATGGAGGATCAAGGTTATCAGGAGGGAGGGGGAGCATTC